CAAACGACTTCTCGCCCGACTCTCACCTCAGTTACCCCACTTCCTCCTCCTTTCGTCTCGTCCTTCACTTCCTTCTCACCTAGATTTTAATTTCTGGCAGGATCTGAGCTATCCCTTCTAATAGTATTTCCTATTCTCTTCGCTACCGAACACCGCGCCTTCCCTGTAGAAGCTTGTAAACTCCCGGTGCGGGTGGAGAGCTTACCCTCCTCAATACACCATGACCACTTCGTCACTCAGGTTCTCCGTTCTATCCCACGTGGAAAATATGGCGGTCGCTATGTCTATCCACCTCTCGCCACCAGAAGATCCGTCACCGGCTATGGAGGCTCCCCTCCGTACAAACAGCCTGAAAGTCGTTGTGATTCCACGCGTTAACCGGAAAACGCACTACAAAACACAGCGAGCCCGTCTCAGCGCTAGCGCGAAGGCGTCGTCACCCGCTCTAGCCCCTGATTGCTAGGAGCTTCTACAGCTCAACCTGGGCCATTACAAAAACACAGCACCGCACTATCATCAGATCGTGTTTCAGCCATGCCGAAATCAGCATGGCCCCTGTGCAAGGATGACAGGCATAAATCGAGAAAGGGTCCGAATTAGCAATGGCCCACAGTAGCATGCTTGCAGGGGTTCCCGTATAGGCTTGGTAGTAGTAGTAGGTAGATAGTGAAACGTGCAAAAAAAAAAAAAAAAAAAAAAAAAAAGAGAAACCAACCGACAGTAAAAAAGAGCGGGGGGAGGGAAGGGAGACTAAGGGTCTGATCCCACCACTACACTACGACTGTAGTCGAGAAAAAGCACTACAAAGATGTCAGCGGCCGTGGCGGGGCGAAAAAGAGAAGTTGTCGTGCGCTTGGGGGCGCGACACACCTCCTGTGGCGTAGTGTGACAGGCAGTGTGCGGCCAGGCTTGGCCAGTTCTGTACTCTGTCTTTTGAGGCTGGCACGCACTTGAGAACATCTCCCTCCCCGGCCACATGAGGGCACAGACGTGCAGGCACATTAGGGCACATAGGTGCAGTTGCCAGCGGCCGAGTATTGGCGACGGAGTGCGGTGCCATTTTCGTCACCGACACCGCTTGGAGGCAAGCTTGCCGCGCCATTGGCCCGTGCATTCCTTGTGTGATGAGGTCCAGCACCGCCGGAGTCTGCCGACTGCACACGTGGGTGGGGAGGTGGGCGTGACGCCATCGCGGTCACAGGCGACGCGTCTGTACGGACACGTGCCAGCCATCGCGGTTGTTTTTTTGTTTGGGTTTTTATTGTTTGTTTGTTTTTTTGTTTCTTGTGAAGTGGGGACGCACGGATGACGCCGGCACAGCTTGGCATGGTGCTCACTGCCATCATTCGCTGGTGGACGCTTCAACAGCAGGTGGCCATTTTGTCGGCCATTATGGCCATGCACATGATGACCAGCGTCATTATCATGCAGAATGCAACGACGGTCCTTTTGTTGCTGGCGTTCCAATACGTTGGAGGACGAGGCTGTGTGGTGGGGGGAGTGCCGCAATTGGGAGATCGGTGATGTCGCAGGCTCTGGGTGCGGAACAGATGTGGTGGAACATGGGAGGAGCTAAACATGGCGGGAGAGGAGCACGATGAGAAATTTCGCCAATACAAACGCTGTCAAGAGCAACTTTCTATCGAGTGTTGGAGGGGATTGCACCCAACATCCACTGAATGGACACGCATTGGAGGCAGGCGTTGCCGGCGTCACAGAAGTTTGCTTTTGCATTGTACCGTTGGGCAACAGGCGGTTATTACCGGCAATGTGGCAACGATTTCGGCATTGGTTTGCAGAGCGCCGTGCGGTGCACGAACGACGTTGCCCGAGAGCTCATCCGGGAATACGGCCATATGGTGCAGACGACGCTGGACTATTATGAGGAGATCCCACTTCTTATAACCAGGGCACTTTTAGGCTTTTTTTTTTTTTTTTAACTGATCAGAACAGATACTACACTTGATCTTAGCCAAAAAGATCCCACTTCTTTCCATGAAACTCGGATCCCGTCCCGGAACGTCAGGGAAGTGGGCACGTTCTCGTACGTGGAGGCGTGAGAGTGATTGCAGGGGCGGTAGTTCTTCCAATTTTCGGAAGCAGCCACCCCATACCCTGCACCGTGAAAGAAGGAGTCCTTGTTTTTTTCTTCCTTCCTTTTTTTCCTGATGTGCTGGCCGTTGGATCCTCGAGGCACCACAAGATAGTGCCGCTCCGTTAGGAGAAGTCCCGCAGATGTAGGGCATGTGGGGTCGCGTTTTTCTTTCACATTCCGTGCGCTGCGCCTCCACCTTTCACGGCACTTCTACATCCTTACGAAGAATGGTAGAAGTAGGATCTGCCCCTTGATGACAGGTGCCTGTTACTACGGGCATCCTGTAAGTGCCGTGCGTAAATTCTTTTTTTTCCTTTTTTTTTCTTTTTCTTTCCCTTCTTTTTCCCTTTTCTTCTTTTTCGGTTAGATCCTCTGGCCCCAAATCTCGTGGCAAAGAGGAGACAGCTCCCCTATGGTTGTGGCTCCATGTGATGGTGTATCTTCCCATGTTCCAGCTGAAGATTCATCTGGTGAATGGAACTGCTCAGGGCTTCGCCCTACCATGTGCTACTGCAGCCTGTTGCAGGTGGAATGGGAGGGTTGCTCACACCAGGGGCGTCCATTAACAGTCGGATAGGAGTGTGGCCGATCCAGTGTGACACTGAGTGACAGCGGGCTGACAGGTTCATTACAAATTTCTGGGCTGAGAAAACAGGAGAAAGGCAAAAGAAAAAAAAAGAAACAGACACATCCCACCGGAATAAACTTCCCAGCCATCAGATCACAAATGATCGGATGGTAGTGGTGGCAACAACAGTGAACAAAGTAACTGCCACATTTTCTGGAATAAACTCTACTTCTGTCAGCAGTGATCCTGAAATCCTCCATATACTCCGTGATTGAAGGAGGGCTCCACCCAATGAGATAATTGCACAACAGCAAGTAAAATACTGAAAATCTTCTATCCAGTGGGCCTGTGGCCTACCCCACCCTCTTTCGGGGTTGGCCACACCCCCAACCGATTGAAAAGATTCTGGCGGGAAGCTTTCATTGCACGGGCATGGCCAGTGTTAGAGAGAGGAGGAGGGGAACAAAGATCTCCCTACTTTTTCGGGTAATACATGTAAAATACTGACGGTGGGATCACGAGTACTGCACCGCAGGATTTGGGTCACTCACTGCCCCATAAACCCGTTTCTATCCTATCCCGTCGCTAGTCTATCCTATCCCGTTGCTAGTGGGACCTCGCCCCAGGGGAAAAAAGAAAGGAAAAGAGAAAACAAAACGGCCCAGGAAAGGACAAATTTGCTGAATAGGAACGGTGGCCCTCATACCCATTCCAAGTCTTTCTTTTTTGCCTTTTTGAACTCAGAGGACCTGAATTTCGGCATGCCTGTGTTTTTCTTGCCTATCTGAACAAAAAAGGTGACCC